AGGATAACCACATGCACACCGAGGGCGTGGTTATCATGATGTCACCAACAGGAACGAAGGTCCTGATGCAATGGGAGGCGATCTCGCCCAGGATAATGACCGCCAGATTCAACTCCAAAGGAAGGAAAGTGTCAATTATACAATGCTATGCACCCACAAACAACGCAGACCTCGAGAAGAAAGAAGAGTTTCACAGACAACTACAGGCAACAATGGACAATACTCCAGTCGGCGACATTAAAATACTAATGGGAGACATGAACGCCAAACTGGGATCAGACAACACAGGAAGGGAACTCATCATGGGCAGAGAAGCTCTCGGAGAAATGAATGAAAACGGAGAACTCTTCGCCGACTTCTGCGCCTTCAATTAACTAGTGATTGGTGGCAGTGTATACAAACACAAGTATATCCACAAGGCTACATGGGTGTCACCAGATGGGCGAACCAAAAACCAAATTGACTTCATCTCAATCTCAAGGAATTGGAGGCGCAGCCTACTGGGCACGAAAGTAAGAAGAGGAGCAGACGTTGGCTCAGACCACTACCTCGTACAAGGGACAATCCAAATCAAATTAAAAGCTTTCAGAGAAACAGGAGCTGCAGATAGACCACAAGCCAAGTTCAACACTCAAAAACTGAAGGACCAGGACACAAAGGACGTCTTCACTGCAAGTATAAAGGACAAAGCCGATACACAAATCAACACTAGCGAAGAGGTCAACGTCAAAAAGCACTGGAACAACTTGAAAACAGTGTGGAGTCAAACCTGCATGAGAGTTCTAGGCAGAAAGAAGAGACAGCACAAACAATGGCTCACTACGGACACTTGGAGACTGATAGAAGAGAGAGGGATGGTGAAACAAAAGATTATCCAGTGCACCGACGAGCAACAAAAACAGGATTTGAATGCAAGCTACAAGACACTGAACAAAAGAGTAAAGAAGAGTGCCAGGGAAGACAAAAGAAAATATTATGAAGCCATGGCAAGTGAAGCAGAACAAGCTGCAGGCAAAGGAGATCTCGCAACACTCTACCAAGCAACTAGGTACCTATTGGACAAACGTTTGACACAAATTAAACCGGTGAAGTATGACAATGGAAAGTCACTCACCAAAGAAGTGGAGCAAAGGAAACACTGGGCTGAACACTTCAAAAGACTCCTAAATCGACCTTCAACAAAACCAACAACGGAGACAGAGCAACCAGTGAACACCAACCCCCCCCCCCACGACGAAATCAGAAGTCCTGAAGGCAATCAAGATGCTAAAAGCTGGAAAAGCAGCAGGACCAGATGGAATCCCAGCAGAAGCATTGAAAATGGACCCAGAGACAACAGCGGACTTGATGACGCCACTACTGGAGAAGGTGTGGAAAGAAGGCAAAGTACCCGAGGATTGGAAGAAAGGATACTTATTCAAACTACCAAAGAAAGGAGACCTAAGTCAATGCAAGAACTGGCGCGGAATTATGCTCCTGTCCATCCCAAACAAAATACCAAGCCGCATCATCCTGGAGAGAATCAAACATGCCAACCTGGATGAATAACTTCGACCGGAACAAGCTGGATTCAGGAGAAACAAGTCATGTATTGATCAGATCGCCACATTACGGATCATCACTGAACAGAGCTTGGAATGGCAGTCACCTCTCTATCTCAACTTCATCGACTTTGAAAAGGCCTTCGATAGTGCAGCGTCGATCGAGAGGTGCTTTGGCAACTAATTCGCTACTATGGGGTGCCACCGATAATTATACATCTCATCCAACAGCTGTACGACAATGCTGCATGCCAAGTAATCCACAACGGGAAACTTACGGAATCCTTCGAAGTGAGAACAGGAATAAGACAAGCTGGCTGCCTACTATCGCTAATGATTTTCCTGATTGCAGTAGACTGGATAATGCGACAAACAGCGGGCAATGAAGTAACAGGAATAAAATGGACTCACACAAAGAACTTGGAGGATCTGGACTTCGCCGATGATATATGTCTGATTTCCCACAAACTGGAAGATATGCAAGCGAAAAGCAACAAGTTGTCAGACGAAGCATCCAGAGAAGATAGGACTTCAAGTGCACATAGAGAAAACAGAGATAATGAAGATTCCTGGGCAAGAACAACAACAACAGACAACGATCAGCATAAGTGGGAGGAACCTGAAAGAGAAAACCTCTTTTACGTACCTGGGAAGCATCGTTTCAACTACAGGCAGACGGAACTGACGAGGATATCAAAGCAGGAATCGGAAAAGCAAGACAAGCTTTCACTACTCTCAAGCCTGTGTGGAGGTCAACAGCACTCAGCATCAAAAATAAGATCTGGATTTTCAACTCCAATGTGAATTCAGTGCTACTTTACGGATCAGAGACTTGATGCGTCATAAAGACCATCTCAAGCAAACCACAGACCTTCATTACCAGTTGTCTTCGCTCAATACTCAAGATCAGATGGCCGGCCAGAGAAGATCAGCAACAGGGATCTCTGGGAGCGAACCAACCAGGAACAGATTGTGAAACAAATAGGGAGGGAGAAATGGAGATGGATTGGCCATACTCTGGGAAACCATCAAGTGACATCACTAGACAAACCCTCGAGTGGAACCCAAAAGAGAAGCGGCAAGATGGTCGTCCAAAGGTGACTTGGAGGAGGTCATGTGAAGATGAGATGAAAATGTGTGGGCAGACTTGGAGCCAGGTGAAGATTCTAGCAGAGAACCGAACGCAATGGAGACGCACGGCTGAAGCCCTATGTTCCTCTAGGAATTAAAGGAAACAATATAATACAATAATAATAATATATGAGAACCTTCGAAATGCAAACGAAACAAAAAAGGTGGGTTGAGATAATAATTACAATCTATATTTCGTATAAACGGATAAGTTTACGAGAAATGCATGCCATTTTTACAGGCACCATCAGTTATGTTATAAATTACAACCCTGATACTTTATCAAAAGTTCAAATTGTTCGATTATTGTACAAGCAATCAGAACAGGTTCTTATAAATGTTAAATTGTAAACCGTTTACTAAGGTCACCATCAAAGTTGAGCAACAACCCAAACTTCATTTCGTTCCCCGCTGATAGTTATGGTCAACCAGTGAACAGCATATATTTGGGTAAGCGATATGCTGCCGCGTGATTAAAAGCTATTTCAGGAAGAGGAGAACGTTGTGGGAAACTGCCAATGGTATAAAAATGCAATTATAAATAATACATCATTGGTAGTAAATTCACAAGATATATACAAGAAAGAGCTGGAGACTCCTTGGAATGATAGTACACATTTGCAATGTTTAATGCAAACCATATTGGTCTAAGCATGGAAACTATGATGTTTTCTATGGAAATATAGCTTTGTTCAAACATTGGTGTTGTAGTGTTTTTAATCAAAGCAACCAGACTTTAAGCAAGCAACAAATATGAACAAAGAGAAACTTTTAGCCTTAATAATGGCCTAGTTAGTTAAGATAAAGTAGAGTATAATGGTGCGGAAATAAAAAGATTATAGTGAGGCAGATAAGTGATATTCCGGTGGGAAGTGAATTCTAAGATCCGGAAGATTAGAATTCGTAGGACAAGCTGACCTGTGGGATGTCTCAGGAGTTTCTGTAGGGTCCATGGTGTAGCATCTTGACAAAAAGCTGAACAGGCTTGTAGACAGAAGGAGCAAAAGCCTTTTTTACTTATAATTTAGATCCATACAACCCTTATTTTTCTTTTTTGGTGAAGGATCTAGACTAATGTTTAATTCTCGAGCTGTCAAAAAATGCACGTTGCACGAAGTGGTACAACACGGAAGATCTGTACAAATGGTGCGTTGAAGATCAGGTGTACATAATTCGGCCATATAGAGATACCAAGTCTTTCCTCTCCTGCATTTTTTCGTATACTATTTATTAACATCACTTTTTCAATTAACCTTTTGTTCACTCTCTTCACCTAATCACCTGATTTGTTTTGATGCCCATCTCTATGCTCTGTTCATTAACATCCAGTTTTTCTGAACGTTTTCTTTTCACATTACGCAACCTTAATCTCCGCCATCTTGGTTACAATTTATTTAATAGGCATTTGTTGTTTTGAAATATTTCGATTATGTAGAGAATATTCCATACTGATGCATTGTTCAAGTCTAATTATGGATTGATATCAGTTAGGGAACCACTGAAAACCAAGAAACACTGGGCAGCTGTTTCTCTCTAGTTTGGGATTCTTCAGCAGTACGCGCTCATGACCCCTGACTGACTGGTTTCAACGTAGAACTTTGCACCGATGTGCAGCAGTTCGAGTCACCACACTTCACTCGGCACATAAAGCCAGAAAAGAAAGTAAAAAGAAAAGCAAAGTAGAAACAGTAAACAGAGATATGAGGCAAAAGAATAGTAATATCGAAGAACAAAATAGTTTTATTCGAAATTACAAGTCACAAGGAGTGGATGCATCTGCTCCGACCATTGAGAACGATTTTGAGCCATATCACCGATTGCCTCCAGTCACTGGTGCTTGTCGTCCCGAAGACCCTAACCAGGAAGTCTACACCTTCCTATGTGGCTGGCTGCTTTAAAGTAACTATTGTGGATTTCATTGACTGATGAAGCAATGTTTTGGTTTGACCACCACTGGCTACTTTCCAGTCTGACCCTATGTCAGCTAACATGGCCCGTCGAGGAAGGCGATGGCTAGACATGCTCATGACCCCACCGCAGATGGTCATGTTTGATAAAGTGAATACATATGTATATATGTTTGTAATCACCTAACCTAACTACCAACATCAGAGAACCTTGGAGTGAATGCTTTCATTCCACTGAAGTCTTACCTCCAAGGAATCGATTCTTATCAGATGCATAACTTACCACTACCACTTCTTGTATCGTTAGCCATAGTGTGGTATTTTTACTATGACGCCAGGTAGCTTTACAATTAATCAATGAACTTCTTTTAAATGTTATCACCGCATAGCTATTGCATCACTGCAATATATATTAGTTCAATTATACACTGTCCAGCTTACTACTAAGAATTAATGGAATAACGACACCTGAATTGAAAGTGAGAAGTTTATAATGGAAGCGCTAAAGCTTTAGGAGATTTTCAAACCAGAATGAATCACAAGCGCGTAAGTAATTTTACATCATTTTTAGCCCTCACACAGTTGGTATAGCACTAGAATATTTCAAGCAATAAACCAATGATACGCTTTCTTCCAAACAACTTATTTTCGATTTATTATACTTTCTCAGTGGTGATTAGCTAACAGTTGAATTGTCAAGTGTTAGTTAATCGGAATTCGGTTAGCTTCAAGTTCGATCGGAGATTCATATTAATTAGGATAACCATTGGGAAGACTCCTGAAATCTAAGACGAAACGGCTAAAAAACAGCGTTCCCTGGCTTTCAATGGTTATCTCTAACTGATATCAATCCGTGATCAAATTTAAAAGTGCTTTAATTATTGCAAGTTCGACTTCCTTTTATTAACCAGATGTGTGTTGCTGGAACTATGATTAATATTCTACGCTCATACAAAAAAAGGGGGAAAAAAGAAATCAATACCTTTTCTAAATCATTTTTCAACTTCACTAATTGTGCTGTCTGTCTATTGAATTGCATTGTAGGCGTAGGCACGATGGCTTTAGCCGACTGTTGTTGTGTGGATCCATCACCAGCGCATGAAGGAGGCTCTTCAATTGGTTTCGATGGCTTAGGCAATCGAACTATTTGAAGATTAGCTATAAAAGAAAACATTTCTTTTCGAAATGCATCAGCATCACGTAACACCTGTGATATCATAGGCTTTTGTTCTTTTTCTACTTCTTCTTCTTTTTCTTCTATAGTGGATGAGGGTTTAGATTCATTATTCGCGGTATTATCAACAGCTTTGAGATATTGACGACGTATTGGTTTTTGCAAAGTTCCAAGACTTTTCATTTGATTCTGGTTTAAAAAACACGTGAGAAAAAGGGGACCGCTAAATTAACTGGTTACAAAATTACTATCATTTGGAATATCTCACCTCCATAGTTAAAAAACGATGACCATATATTTATGGAGTCAGTAACTTGTCACAGATCGATTTAAGAGGCAATGAACGCGTAAGTAATCTGAAGGTTACAGGATTGTCATCATGAGCTGACATTAGTTAGAGAACCATTGGAGGACCTGGGAGTACTGGACAGCTGTTTCGTCCTAGTTTGGGACTCTTCAGCAGTACACACCCACTGGGGTTCGAACCTAGGACCTCCCGGTTACAAGGCAAGCTGGCTCGTATACCATTAAGCCACTGGGACCCAATCCAATGACCCATGATCGGGTCCCAGTGGCTTGATCGTCGACGAGGTGGCCTTGTAAACAGAAGGTATTAGGTTCGAACCCCGCAGTTTGGGTGCGTACTGTGGAAGAACCCTGAACTAGGACGAAATAGCTGTCCAGTACTCCCAGGTTTTCCAATGGTTTTCTAACCAATGTCAGCTCATGATGAAAATCCTGTAACCAATCAAATACCTACAAACCAACACTTGTATAATCTGAAGGTAGTTGGTTCAAACTCCGACAGGAGAAATATTCTTCGTCAGTTAAAAATGAATACTACCCACTCTATCATTCAAAGGTAGCTAAAATTACTTATTTTGAGGCCTTTATTACCAATGATAATGAAAAGCTGACAGTAAACTGTAACTGCTGCCGTTATCCGTGGGAAGCGAGAAGACAGGCATACACTGGATCAACAATAAAACTCTAGAATGTCTGGACCAAGTTTACGATTTGTGTTCAATGTCACACAGACTCGAAGGTGAAGAAGTAAAAGCAACAAGTTGACAGAAGAGGCAGCAAATGCAAGATGTCAAATGGATGTAGAATAGACAACAACACAAATTGGAGGAATGTAAATGAGGTCACCTTTTTCACCTATATAAGCGGCACAGATGAGGATGTCAAAAGGAGCCAAGATCGGAAAAGCAGGACGTCTTCATTGCTTTGAAATCCACTGCACTAAGCAAGAGGAAAAAAAATCGGAATTTTCAGAATATGTCAGATTGCTCAGTGCTTCTATGTGGCTTAGAAACTTGGCCCGAGTGTCATGAATAGCACTTTCAACAGGCTACTTCAGAAATTTATCAGCAGCTCGATACTGAAGATCAGATATGCAGAAATGACAAGCAACAAGGAAGTCTAGAAGATAGCGAAAACAACTAAGAAACTTATACCTAGATAATATGCGGCAGGATGAGGGGATGGATATCTTTTGGTGATACCACGCACCAGATCCTTGAGTGGAACCCAATCGGGAAATGACAAGTTGGATGTCTGTTGGTAAAATGGGGGAGATGGTGTGAAGAGAGTATTCGAAAGCTTATGAGGCAATAGTAGAGTCAGCTGAAAGGGACTATTTGCGAACACAATGAAATGCAGATGTGCCAACTACAAGAATTCTACTACTTTATCGAAAAAGTGGAAAAGTTATTAAGTTATTTTCCGTCTGAAGTTAAGGGTGTTAATTAGCAGTTAGGTTATTGAATGGAAAGGTTTCAAACACTATAAGAAAAGGTTAAAAGTAAACCTCCTGCTCATGCACAACACCTAACCTAATAGAATATGAAGAAAATATGGGAAAACAGTTCTTTCAAATAAAAGAACTCAGAGACCTGTTATGTATAAAAGAGTTCACGATTAGCATAGAAAGCATTAGCGGAGGGAAATGTCATTCCTTGGGGTATGCAGAAATTTAGATTGGAATAACAATGATAAAAACTTTGAGTGAAGGTCAATTCTTTTTTGACTCGATGTATATTGAACAGCAGCATGCCTTTCAATCTAGCTTCAATTATTAGGAAAATTAACAGGTTAAGAGACAAGAAGAGACATGTATCATGAGTTACTGTTCCTCCGTGATTTGTGAACTAGACATTTGACCCTTACCTCAGGTTAAAGTCACACACTGGATCCAGTGAAAGTATGGCTTACATCTTAAACTAGAAACTTATCGATTGTTTGAAGTAGGTGTACAGTACATTTATTTAAGTGTACACTCTTTTGTGAGAAAAAACTCACCTTCTCAATATATATTCGAGTATTCATTTTTGTGTAAGTCAAATGATACAACAAATAAGAATACGTTTAGTTTGTCAAATTCGCTTATACTAAGATAATTTATCCATTTTAAGGCTGGTGATTGGTAATAGAAACTATGAATGCTCTGCCGCACTGATTACCTGTTAGTTGGATGCAACTAAGCTCTAATAGATGGAAGTGACCCTTATCGGAATATGATACTGACCTCTATGGTATCAAACACAAAACGTTTCTAAACTTCAACTATTTACTCATGATTAGCAGTGAATGTCTATGAAGTCTTTGACAGCTGGTTTCAGCCGACCACTTAGAGAGGTGCAGACTGTCTGGTTGGGAGTATTTCGGGATACTAAGAACAAAGGGATGGAGACTATTGGTGATATAGTTCAAAATCGTTCTCACTAATGCAAATGCATTCACTCTTTATAATCTCCCATATCTATTAAACGCTCATACGTTTCCGTGTTGCCATTCTTTTTCTTTTCTGTGCATTATAACTCTTGTGAATTTCTTTCTTCTCTATTTTCTCAACTTTCGTGTGCTGTGCATGGAGTGTGGCAACTTGAAGTACTGCACATTTCTGCAAAAGTCTATGTTAAAACTCAATCAGTCAGAAAAATCAACGTTGCTTGTAGGTTGGAGATAGTCGAACAATCTATTTCAATGGAATCTATAACAGGTAATTACAGATACGCTCATTCAGCTAAACACATTGAACACTAAATATCTAACAAATATAAATTTGGATGGAGGATTTCATCATGAGCTGACATCAGTTAGAGAACCATTGGAAAATCTGCAGGGAGTACTGGACAGCTGTTTTGTCCTGGTTTGGGCCTCTCCAGAAGCACGCACTCACCGGGGTTCGAACCCGGTGACAGCTGAACTTATAAAAAAAATGTTTTTTACATTTGGGAACAGAAATACAACAGGGTCGATGAATTCGTCCATTAACTATGTCCAAAATGTGTGAAATTTCAGTTACAGAAAATTTCCCACTACATGAAAATCAAGTGCTACAGTCGCTGAGGGGTAGAATGCTTGCCGACCATGCACGTGGTCCGCCTTCAATACCCAGACGACGCACTCATAAACCTCATTTAGCCGGTAGTAAGCTCGATAAAGTGGGAGGGTTGGGTGTTCGGCTAGCCACTCTGTTTTGTAAAAACAACGCTACTGCTCCTGAAACTTCAAAGCTCATGCTTGTAACTGTATGTTCCACTGGGAACGTAAAAGAATGAGAAAAACAACCCGAAAATCATAAGCTCAACAGTATTTTGATAAGAATAAAGAGCTTCGGTTATTGTGAGGTAGGTGGCTACCAGAGATTTCTTCGTAATTTTTACAGAATCCACAACTTTGAGGACATCTGTGTATATTTCAGAGAGGAGTATTAATGTACTACACATAGTTTATCATTTATCCGTTAGAAGAAAAACAAAATTTAGTAAACTCACAAACATTTTTTCACCACGTAGCTTAGATACCTCAGAAGACAAACGTCGGACAGCTTCGCGAAGGCCTTTAATCTATGTTAAATAAAAAAACACAACATTGAAACAAAAAATAAAGTCAGTCATTAAAAAGATTTAAGTCTTTATGCATTTCGAAGAACATTCCAAAGGATCTGTAAGTCAAAAAAGGCACATTACAATGCTCGCAAGACACAAGAGAATATCAACGTCCAAATCCCGGGTCAACGCCTCTTTAAAACCTCACCTAGTTGTTTACCAGGTGGTAGTTATGTTATACAATAGTGGAGGTTGGACATAAGGCTACAAACCCACTACTGATTCTCTAAAAGCTTGAAACCCTAACTTATGAAAATTAAAAGTTCCAGATTGTGGTAGGATTCGAAGCAATTGCCTCCGGACTATCAATTCAGATATGTATATTAGCTGAACTAGCCTACTTAACTGCGTTATTTTACTAAAACCATTAAGAGTAATATCTAGTTGTCACGTGAATGTGTTATGCCTTACTGTCAGTCGTACTTTTGACTTGAAGACAGATCAACAAGGCAGTGGAGCAGCCTAAGGAGCTACATTCCCATGGTCTCCGGTGACCAAAACAATTTCACACGCTATTCGATCCATTCGGATTCTGGAGCCTATCTACACCATAGGTTTGGAATCAGAGTTTTCCAACTACCTTAGGTAGCCCAACATGTCCCACCAATGCATCTTCAAGTGTCAAAAGTTCACATTTGCCCTATAACGTTTGTGAGGAACAACCTCGTACAGCGTAGGACTATATTCGGAACTCAAATACTAACCTACTGAAGGAGATTTACATATGATCCCATACGTACACATATATATTGATATAGGGAGATTAAAGATTTCTCAAAACAGTTCAATGTGCTACAATTTATGTATCGATATATAGATGCAGATTGATAAGAAGTGGCGAAAATTGAAATCAACATTTTAAGTTGGTAGCTGAAAGGAGTAGAAGTGTTTAGTCTTCAAATCTGGATTCAGTTAACATTGTGGTCTGGAAATAATCTCACTAGACAATTTTTAATCCTTTACTTAACTTTCAGCCAATCGACAACCATTCTCAAAGCAGTTTATTAATTGTCCACTGACCTAACCGACTTTCAATATGGTTAAAAATGTATAAATATGATGCTTTTTTCTTGAATAAAAAATGCCGTTACATATTTTCTTTAATGAGATAACTTGTCAACGGCGTGATGGTCTGAATTATATAGATATATAAAAATCCATAAAGAGTGACCAGATGGTAGGTGAACTCAATATTTAGGAAGTTTCTCTTACCAACCACTTTCTGTATTCACGTAAATTATAAGTAGTTAGTGGACCCACACAAAACACTTGGAGGATCTGGACTTCGTCGATGATATATGTCTGATTTCCCACAAACTGGAAGATATGCAAGTGAAAAGCAACAAGTTGGAAGAAAAGCATCCAGAGAAGACAGGAGTTCAGGTGAACACAGAGAAAACATATGGTGATGAAGATTCCTGGCCAACAGCAACAACAACAGACAACAATCGGCATAAATGGGAGAAATTTGAAAGAAGCAACCTCCTTTAAATACCTACCTACCTACCTGGGAAGCCTCGTTTCAAATACAAGCGGAACTGACGAGGATATCAAAGCGAGGATCGGGAAACCAAGACAAGCTTTCGTTACTCTCAAGTCTATGTGGAGATCAGCAGCGCTAAACATGAAAATTTAACCAATGACGGTGAGTTTCTGCTCCTGCGGAGAAAGCTATGTAGGTCGAACAACTAGACAGCTCAACAAACGCACCATTAATGAGCATCTTCCTCCATAATTCGGAAAAGGCTAAATAAAATCTGTAAGAAGTTCTACTTTGACTCATTTGATTGATAGCAGTCACCAAGTGGACAGAAGAAGTGCCTTCAAAGTTATCCATCGCATTTCATCGAACCTTTCGAATGGAATTCAAACCCGCCTTTTTACAAATAGCCGAAGCTATAGGAATTCGAGAGAACAATCCTAGTCTGCGTACAAAAGAAGTTTGCTCTACCTTTGCCTAGGCAAATTCTAATCAAAACCCTTCCACCCTCTCTTATTTTCCATTTCCTTCGTAGTTTTATGATATTTATTTTGAACTCTAATTACCTGTCCACTTCAGCTTCGGTATTACGTAACTTTTGAGATTTGACCTAAATTATTTATTGAATCTCCTAAACATACACATATTGATACCTTCATTCATCTTATCACCACGTGCATAAATCTTGTTATCATTATAATCATCTTTATTACTGACCTTCAAAACATTTAACACGTTGTTATTGCTATTTGATCCATAAACTCACCATCATTGGTTAAAAATTTTGTGTATATATCTAAATAAATTAGAGTAAAGCCTGAAGAAGATCTAAAGTGAAAACAATATAGTTCGCTTATATGTCGTCTTGTTTTAATGTTAATAATGGGATTATTTAAAGTTGTTTTCAGTTTAACTCCATTATAGATAAGATTTTATTTTGACAAATTACACAGTAAGATTAACTGATGACGTTTCGAGCACAAATTATTGCACATAATCATACCAAATCACCCACACAACGTTTTACTTCATTTATATACATGAGTGGAATTGATTGATTAGATATTTGAATGAAAATCACTATAGGATAATGTACATTCAGGAATAATAATAATATGAGTGTTATTGATCAAATAAAATCAGACGGGAAATAAGACGAGTGTTTTTATAGTCAAAATAATTAACTTGTTCGAATGTTAAGACTATTTATTATCCTCCTCTGATTTGACTGGTGGTAAACTTGAACGTAGATGAGTAAAATTAATGCCATTTGTGAACTAGACATCTACACCCACTAAAACCAATTGGCAATTTGCAATATCCACAGTTCAAGGAGATGAAATTTCATCACAGTTCCCTGTGCAAATTATTTAGATTACAATATATGTTGTACTTGATATCATGAATGGTAATCAAGAAGGCATGCATCGGTGGCACAGCGGTAGAATGCTCGCCAACCACGCATGTGGTCCGGGGCTCGATCCCCTGCCAATGCACTCCTTTACCTCCGTAAACCAGTAATAAGACTGGTAAAGGGGGAAGGTTGGGAATGAGGCTAGCAAACCCCATCCCGTAAAAATAAATACCACTGCTACAGAAACTTCAGGTGTCTAGCTTGAAGGCCTATTTTCCACTGGAAACATAAAGAAATAAAAAAAATCAAGGAAGCAAACATAAATGCAAGACGCCATATGCTACTGATTCATTGGGACGAATAGGTGTATACCACTCACATCAACCAGAAGTGATTGCTAGCTATATCAACGTAGTCTAAACACTGGACGGCCGTTTCTCTAGTCTAGGGTCGAACTCATCAGCGATGTTACTAGGTATGACTTAGCTTACAAGGGGGTGAGACAGTTGAAACCACTCGACTTTTAATAAGTTAAATACGTGAACTAGCAATATCCACTACAAAAATGACTTTTCTGAGATATTTTGATTTAAGGGATTATAAACGTCTATTTATTAGAAAGAAAACAAAATGTGAAAACTAACCTCCATTGACATGAATGAAGCATCTCTGTAGGCAGCTAGACGTGCAGGACCAGGTGAAGGTGATGCACCCTCAACAGAAGTTTGTTTACCAACTGAAGGAGTTTCAGGTGTAGCAGTCTGACCCTTAGATGGAGTTTGATCTAGCAAAAGGGGAAAATTAAAGTAACATACATTTATTACTTACTATAAAGCAAATAAGTATGAATATTGCGTAAATGATCAAATACTCTCTGATAATTCAAACTGCTAATTATTTTACCAATAATAATAGTAATAATAATAATAAAAATAATAGTGATACATAATTATGACTGTTATTTAGCGCGTCGGTAGCACAGCAGTTAGGACGCTCGCCGATCATGCACATGGTCCGGGGTTCGATCCCCAGCCAACGCACTCATTTAGCTTGCTAAGCCAGTAATAAAAAGGAAAAGTTGGAAATGAGGCTAGAAACCCCATCCTGTAGAAATTAACACTGCTACAGAAACTTCAAGCCTCTAGCTTGAAGCCCTATGTTTCACTGGGAATGTGAAGGAATAAAGAAAAATGACTGTTACTATTCCCGTGAGTTCGGACCAGAACATATGGTTTCAACAGCACACTTCCATTTCACTCTCTTCTCTGCAGTTGTTTTAGGTGGCCTCACAATTAGCGGTGAG